TTACAGATATTTTCAAATGAAGTTGACAAGGTAAAGCTCCTTATTTCAGTTAAAACAGTTTACAGATTTTTACTTTTTCTTTTATCAGATACTAAGTTACAAAAAAATCTTTAAATCCGTTAAACTGTTGAAATATGTTCAAAATATTTATTTTCTTCAAAAGCTTCAAATAAAGCAATTTCCACAATTATTTGAAATCGCTTAAGAACCAAATTCACTTTTCATAGTTCCTATAAAATCAAATTGATTTTTTCATATCTTGTACGAATTCAGCATCGTAATTATAGGATAGACCACAACAAAAATATATGAAATCACATTTAACTTTCATATACACAAAAATAATAGACTATTTATTTCTCGAGCACAAATTTATTCCAACACAGTACTACGTGCTCATGCAATAATATATTGCAAAAATATTAGTGAGAAATGAACTCACCTCTAGTGGATACGACTTCCCTAAAATATTAGTCTCCTGGATATCAACAAGATCCTATAATATAAGATATAAGACTAATTACTAATTCAAGACAAACATATATTATAGGTAAATCAATTCAAAATCTAGAGCCTAATAAATTCAGATATAATCAATGATAATTAAAGTCTGGAGTACATATGAGTTTATAGCTATCTTTGGCAATTCATCAAAATTTATAACTCTCATATACTAGTTTTTAGATTTTCCTAGTAATTTATGATAATGCAGGGGTTATAGGGAATTTATCTGATCCAAAAGTTATATTTAATTCTTCAGATTGAACTTATTTGTAAATAGAAAGAATGGTAGGGGTCCATATGTAACTATCATTTCCTATTCATGGTTTAACCCTTATGCTTGAGTCTCTTGAAAATATTAATAGCACAACAAGGTTTAAACATAAATTTCTTATTATATATTCTGGACCAGAAAACAAACTTATAAATTTTCAAGGGTCCCAAAATAATTTCGTTATATAACTAAAATTTCCCCCCTTCTCTCTCTCCTCTATCTGCTCTTCTTCCCCGTTACTTTTCTTCTCATCAAATTTTTTTTCGGTTTCTTTCTTCTCCTCTCTCTCTCTCTCTCTCCCCCTCTGATAATCATATTTTATTACAATTTTATACCCTCATTATCTATTTTATATGAATAAATATATCACTAATAATTGTTTTTATCTTTTAATTGCAGGTTAATGAAGAATAAATCTCAAACTCTCATCTCTCAACAAAAACCCATCGATTAAATGAAAGAAATGAATAAATATAAATATACCAAAATGTGGGAATTCAAGGGAGAAATGAATGGGCCGGTTATCATCAAATTAATGCAACTGAATTTTCTTCCTTTCTTAAAGTTTCAAATTTGTAAATTTAGGCCCAGATGTGATTACCAAAATTTGGGGACTTAGGCCCAAAAATGCATTGGAACTAAAAGAAATAAACTGGCCTTGCTTGAGAAATGAATGGGCCGATTTATTTTTCTTTCTTTGCAGGTGTTGATTTTAATCAAATGGATGTGGACCTTGCTGCATTTATTTCCGAAAACAAAAACTTGATTGCTGCAAACAAGAAGGACCGGACCTGCTGGCTTGGTAAGAAAATCACTGCTGCAGATTGGGAAACCAAACTTAATTGTGCAAACATCTATGGGCCGAACTCCTGCAGTTGATTTCTTTTCTAATGAACTGAATATTAATAAGGCACAAATCAAACCGGACTTTGCTTGGACTTAAAAATGAAATGAAATGTGGACTTTGAGGTGCTGATGATATGGGCCGGACTTTTCTTTTGATTTTCAAAAATCAAATGAAGTGGGCCGGTGGTTAATGAATTGGACTTGGCTAATACAAAGATTTGGACTTAATTTCTTCATTGTGGACATTGCTGCAAAATTTCTCTCATGGACCTGCTGCATTTCATTTTTCCTCAACTAAATGAATCAAGACCGGACCTGCTGACCTACTACAAGAGTTTGGATTTTCATCAAATGGGCCTCTTATGTTGGGCTAGAGAAGAAAAAAAATCAAATAAATCAAAGGTGGAGATTGTGCTTGAGGCTCAAGAAAAATCCAATGGCTCATATTCATTGAAGATTACTATAAATCGGGGTAGAGAGTGAGGGGTTAGAGGTGTGAAAATTTTGTAAACTCTTTTTGGAGAGGAGAGCTACTCTTAATTGAGAAGGCCTTCCAAAAATTATAACTTTAGTTGCAATTAATAAAAATAATTTTTTCCTCTTTAAATTTGTTCTTTCTCCTCTTGTTGAATGATGAGGATGGAGATGAAGAGCAATTTGAAGGTTTGCATTTCTTTTCTTTTTTATTTCTTTTTAGTGATTTCTTTATTATTGCTTATTAGTTAGATTTAAATTCATGCTTGTAGTGTAGATTTACTTTCTTGTCATTTTTATTTTCTTTTTGCACTTTAATTTGTAGAGTAGATTTATTTTTCTTGTATTTAATTTCTGTAATTTATTTTGTAGTTTAGATTTTTATTTTCTTTGTAATTAGATTTATTTCTTGTTCATAGTTTAGATTTTTCTTTTCTTTTTAATTTTGTAATTAGTCTTCTTTTTCTTGTTTTTATTTCTTAAGATGAGAATTTAATTCTTGTAGGAATCTGAGAATTGTATGAAGCTAGACTAATTTCTTTTATATTGTATGAATTATTCTCTTGCACTTAAAATGTTCATGTTTAGGATAATCAACTAGAGAACTAATCGGTAGAAGAAGAATTTGATAATCTATGCTTATCTTAAATGGTTTGATAGGTTATGCTTATGAATTCTAGGATTATTATCATGTTGTTGTTCTTATCATGAATAGTAATTTTAACTTAGATGATAATTTGATAGGTTACACTTTCCTTAAATGGTTTGATAATCTATGCTTAATAAATCTAAGTTGAAATATGATAAAAAGAGAATAGTTTATATTTTGTAATTGAAATTGGTTAGTTGATTATATTCTAGATTTCTTACCTCTTTTGAATCCTCCATCTTAACTTTGTTTAATTTTCTTTTCATTCTTGGTTTTATTTCTTGATTTTATTCATTCTTCTTTCTTGCCTTATGATTTCATTTATTCGTTTTTCTTCTCTCCTCTAAAATTCAATTTATTATCTCTTGCACATAAATCAAAACAACCACTCATCAAAATCATACTTATTCTTTATTCCTAATTGTCATGCACAAAATATAAAAACCAAGTTTAATAATCTCTTATAATCACCTTCCTCGTGGGATCGATATCTTTTTATACTATAACTTGATAAATTGTGCACTTGCAATTTTTGGTACATAATTATGCCGCACCAGTAACAAGTTCGAAGAAGACATTGATGAAGCAGTTTGGACGGGTGAACATTCCAACAAACAAGCAAATGGCCTTCTTTGAAAACTCTAGGGGAGGTTTTCATAGAATTGGATGTACTGAGAACGATGTGAGAAATTATGAAAGAGATTTGAGAGAGGAGAGGCGTGGTCATGATGCACAAATGATGTTGGATCATTTCAAGTCGGAACAAGAGAAGAATCCTTCGTTTTTTTATGTTTATGAAGTTGATGACGAGAAGCGCTTAACTCATTGTTTTTGGGTGGATGGCATTGCTCGAATGAATTATCAACACTTTGGCGATGTTGTCTCCTTCGATGCCACGCATAACACAAATCAATATGGCTTAGTATTTGTGCCATTTGTAGGCATAAATCACCATTGGCAAAGTGTTTTTTTAGGATGTGGCTTGATCCCAAATGAAGAGGCGAAGTCTTTCGTATGGTTGTTCAACAAGTGGATTGAAGCAATGGGTTATCCTCCTTCAGGCATGATTACAGATCAATGTCTTGGCATATGCAAGGTAATTGAAACAGTTTTTCCAGAAATTCGGCACAGGTTTTGCATTTGGCATATTTTGGACAGAGTTCCGGATAAGTTGGGTAAATGGGCGTATAGAACAGAATTTATGAAATCTTTCAAAGAAAATATTTGGGACTCCGAGACGGTTAGCTCTTTTGGAGAGAATTGGGTTTCAATTCTTAAGAAAAATGGGTTGGAAACGCATGAATGGCTAAATGATATCTATGAAATTCGTGAAAAATGGGCTCCGGTTTATCATAAACAACACTTTTGGGCCGGAATGTCTAGTAGTCAAAGAAGTGAAGGGATGAATGCAATGCTAAAAATGCATGTATCAAGAAAAAATTCACTTCATGATTTCGTGATCATCTTTCAAAGGGTCTTGGCGAGACAAAGAGAGGGGGAGCTTAAAGAAGATCATTGCACAGTGGAGAAAAAGCCAAAATTGAAGACTTAGAGAGGGGGAGCTTAAAGAAGATCATTGCACAGTGGAGAAAAAGCCAAAATTGAAGACTTTGTGGTCATTGTAAAAACAAATGGCCCAAATCTACACGAAAAAAAATCTTTTATATTTTTCAAGACGAGCTTCAACCTAGATTAATGTATAACATTGAGTTGGTAAAAGAAAATGAAAGAGAAAGTACTTTCCACGTGAATTTTTGTGGTCATGATGAAAGAGTGAGACATATTATATATTGAAAAACAACTAAAATGGTCCGTTGTTCGTGTCTCATGTTTGAATTCAAGGGCATTCCATACCGACATACCTTGGCATATCTTAAAATTACCAATCATAGTGAGTTACCGGAGCAATATATTCTGAGAAGATGGTGCCGAAATGTTAGAAAAAGAGTTGTTCTTAGAGATGGTAATATTATTGGAGATAATACCGCAATTAATTTTGCTTCTCGTTTTAGTGAACTAAATTGCTTAGCTAATGAAATGGTCGAAGAGGGGCTATCTTCTAATGATGCATATGAATTAATACGTGAAATGATGATGGATGCTATTAATAAGGTGCAACGTTTGAAACTCATCAATGATGAAGAAATTGGATAAGGTGTGGAAGGAAATTTTATGAATGCGGAGGTATCTGAAGATGTAGTTCATGAACCAAGTCAAGCAAGAACAAAAGGAAGGCCTAAAGGGAAGAGGATAAAGCCATCGAGGGAGATTCGCAAATGCCGGCCTAGGAAATGTAATTTGTGTGGAATGCGAGGACAAAATCATGATAGTAGAAATTGCCCTCACAAGTTGACAAGGTAGTGTATCATTTGTTTTAGTAATAGTAATGCTATTATTTGTTTAAACCTTTTTTTAAGTTGGTGCAATGATCCTTAATATGTCTTGCTATCATAAATTTTTTTTAGTGATTCAATGGAACAAGATAATAATGATGAAGCCATTGACGATTTAGAAGATTCCTTTGAGGAAGGTAATGGTTAATACATACGGAATAGTTTGTACATTGCCATTTTTTCAACATAACGTGATTTGCTAATTTTTTTAATATAGATGAAGTTCTCACTATTGCGTGAAGTTTGATCGAGGTTGGCGGAGCAAACAGATCGGATTATGTTCAGTTCCAATGGAACATGTGTTGGTATTATTGTTGTTGTTGGTATTGTGAGAGACATGAGCTTTTTTCTACTATCATGATTTTGTTGGTATTGTGAGAGACATGAGCTTTTTTCTACTATCATGAGTTGTTGGTATTGTTGTTGTTGTTGGTATTGTTGTTGTTGTTCAGTTTCAATCTTTTACATGCCAAGTTACTATTAGTTGTCTATATCTGTTTCCCCAGCTAATGGATGTAAGAGACATGAGCTTTTTTCAGGATGGATCATTTGATTATGTCCCCAACACAAAGTTTTCTTTCCCCAACTAATGAATGTAAGAGACATGAGCTTTCTTCACATTTGATTATGTCCCCAGCTAATGGGAAAAGCATCCGGATTATGGATTTAAGCATTCGCCTGTTCACATTTGATTAGGACTCGAAGGGCTCCAATACTGGCATACTTCTACTATTAATTTATGGATTATAATCATTGATATTGTACAGATATTTTGTTTATGTGATTTCTTTTGTTGCTCATAAAGTCTCGTGCAATGAGAAGGCCTTCATATCATCATATGTTCAAGAGTGCACTTAGTTCATAATTTAGCATTGTTATTTGTTAAAGATGAAATATGAATCTGTAGGAAACAAACACTATTACTTTGATTCAAGACAAACATATCCTTTCATTTATTCGAGCATCCCTACACAATATATTCTCAGTAAGCAGGTAGCTGCTTGTTGCGGAGAAATTCCCATTTTTTCTAGTGGAAACCAACCGCACCGAACTGCATCACTTCGCTACAATTCGCTACAAATGACACAACATATATGCAGAGAACATACACTTCAACAAACTCAATAATACATTCCTAAACTCTACTTAGCACAAATCCAATACAAATACCAAATACAAAGCCAAGAAAAATACCAAATAAAAGATCAAATACAACAAGCTTCAACAAATCCATAATATCAATCTCAAACTTTCTCTTTTCCCGGACTTCTCCACTTGACACGGCTCTTGAAACTTGCGGCGTCATGCTCGACTGCTTCGTCTGAACAAGCTCTGCCTTTGAACCTTCAAACTCCTCTTCATCAGACACCCATTTGAAGAATCCACAATTATTCACTCTCCAATTAGCGCATCTCAAAAACAATCGACCAGGATTCGTCTTAGTGCCAGATCTGGAGAGTATAGCCCTCCTTCCACAATAGCACAACAGTCCATGATGATTGCTTGAAGATGACTCCATGACCTAAGGCTACAGATACAAAAGTTTAACAAGACAGTCATGCTAAACAAACAGAATGATGCACAATTAAAGACTAACTTCAAGGAAACAATCTAATTACAATAGAACCAGAGAGAGAGAGAAACATCACAACAAAAATCGCAGCAATCTAATTATAATAAAAACCGTCTAATTATAATAAAAGGAGCTGCAGAAAGAGGCTTGCTGATCACAATCGCAGGAGGAGGAAACCTCACAACAAAAACAGCAACAACCCTTCGTCCACAACCGACTCCTCCTCTGACAAGGCCAAACTCACTGCTCCCATGCCTTCAAGAGATCACTCCACCTTGTTCAGACATGAGGGCTGTAGTTTGACATGAGGGCTGTTGTTCAGACTTGACCAAGTTGGTCAGAACAAATGATTTTTCATGGTGGATTGGGTTTATTACCTTCCATTTTCTTGAAATGTTGATGTGCAATTGTTAGTTCAACCATCGTTTCATACTCCTTTATGCTATGTCAGTAATCAGGTTTGTATGTGTTATGATGAATTGTTTTCAGGGTTTACCAAGTTGCCAATGTGAAGGCTGAATGGAATCTACTCAAAACATTCCCAGATTTATCAGGAACAGGTTAACGCACAACTACCTTATTTCTAAAATTCAAAATAAAAAAAGCAAGAATATTAGAAGAAGAAGGAAAAAAACCCACCTGATTTAATTTCCACAAGGATGCGACCAAATTATACTGGAAAAACGTAAAAATTACACCAAATCATTAACTTGATTGAGAGGGCCAAAGGATTTCACCTGAGGGGAGTATAGAATGAGTAGAACTTGATCTCGCGGATCGATCTCGGATGTAGGAGGATCTCACGGCAGCTCGCAGGGATCTCGCGGTGGCTCAGAAGGAGGGTAGGGGGAGGATCTGGGGAGACTCGCAACCACTCTGGGGGGAGGATTGGGGAGTGGCGGCTCGGCGATGATGCTTGGGGAGAGAGAGGGATCCGGAGTCCGTCGGCTCGGCGACGATGCTTGGGGAGAGAGAGGGCGGAATTTTTGGGTGGATAAGCCAAAATAAAAATACTTATCAAACATTTTGATGTGGTTTATAAGTCGCTTTGATAATTTGCCAAACATGCTCCAAGTTGCTCCAATTAAACCTAAACTAAACTCATCATCTTAAATGTATCTGGATTTCTGGTCCTGTTCAGAAAAATGTTTTTTTTAACTTGTTTCATAATTTTTTTTAAGATTTGAAGAAGGGCAAAATGGCCAGATTGGTATATTTTTTCGAGGGTTGGTGTGAAATATTGATATTTTCTTTTAGTTTTGTCAGATTGGTATATTTTTTCAACTCCGGCGTCATATAGACCTAAAATTTGGCCGGAGTTACTGTTCCGGCCAAATTTAGTTATTGTTCCGACCAAAATTTAGTTACTGTTCCGACCAAAAATCCCATCAGCCTTAGCCGGAACAGTAACTCCAACCAAATTTAAGGCCTATATGGCGCCGGAGTTGAAAAAATATACCAATCTGATAAAACTAAAAAAAAAAAATATCAAAATGTCACCAAGCCACGAAAAAATTGCCAATCTGGCCATTTTGCCTATATATATATATATAAGATTTAGTCAAGTGCAATTCAAATGAGGGCGGACAACAAATCTCGATGTCCACACAAGCTGGAGGAGTTAGTAAAAGAATTGATAATGGTATAGTCTAGGTTGTATATGAGTTGCAAAAGGTTGTATTATTATAGGGCTTGTTGTGAGGGAAAAATGTAATTAAAATTTTTTATAAGATTTGTGAATGGTTTTTTATTTAAGTTTGGTTTTTAATTATGGTGAAACTTAGGATAAAATATTATCTTTTCGTACCGGCTATTATTATTATAATTATCATTTCTTTTAATATATAATTAAGGTTATCATCTTGTTTTATAATTATCAATCTTATTACTCATTTGTTATTAACCCAAAATTACTTGAATTATTTAAATCTCTCATAGAGAAGTCAACACGTGTCTTAACTATGCCTAAACCCAGGACTAATTTCATAAGACCAAGATTAACCTCTGCACTCAGGCCCGGCCGACTCGATTTGGCTGAACTGCTTGATAACCGAGTTCCAATAAGGTGGACTATAGTTCGTGTCAAACCCCCTCAATTGATTCGATAAGCGTCCGGGCTCGGGGGCTCCAATACCTGTTCAGCCGACATTATCTCATGTAAACTGAGTTAAAAGGCGTTAATTTCAAGTTCGTAAGGAAACCTATGAGTCGAAAGGTCAATAAGTTTACCTTGATACCGATTCATCAAGCAGATTACTTCTTGTATAATTCCCTTTTGACCAACATCATTTATTACTCTAGCCCCTATAGTTGTTATGATTCATTGGACTTAGTCAAGCTATATATATATATAAACCAATAAAATGTGTGAGGTAATATGCACTGATTCGATGTCCCCTTATCAAGCATTATACTAATAACACACAATTGGAGTACATGGAGTAGATATCCCTAATCATCTACAAGCAATTACCCAAGCAATCCGGAGGTCTGATCTGGACTTGACCACATGGTATCTGTTTTGACTGGACTTTTGTGTTAGACCATTAACTAGTATATATATATATATATATATATATATATATA